GATAGCATATAACCGCATTTCCCCAAACATTTTATGGAACCATACAGACATTCCAGAGATGAGCTTTCACACTGTACAGGATGTAGGACAAGAACCATCCAGCAATCAATACAAAATGAAGCCTTCTGGAAACATTCATCCCAATAGCTCCCACTGGGCATGGACAAAAGAAATACCACAAATAATATTTTTTAACTTAAACGTTTTATAAAGCATACACTGGCACATGTGGGGAGGAATGATAAAAGTTGTTTTAAGAGAAAATACCTTAGAAGAAAAATATACTCACATCTCAACTGCTACGGAAAGAAAAGATATTACAGTATTTGTAATTGATTATTAGATTTGTAATTGATTATTAGATTGCATGTTTTGAAAATCTCACCTTTGAAGGACAACAAGTGGAACTGCTATGAAGAAGAGACAACCACTAGTGTTGGTGTAGTCACTGCAGGCAGAAAGACAGACAATTGCGTCCAATGGCTAAAAGGACTCAAAAGTAGATGAATGGGCAACATACTAGACTATGCTCGCCACCAAACATCTTATTGCACAACAAAGGGCATACGTCAAGTGTTCCTATATCACAGAGAGTTTTGAATCAATGAAGCAATTTATGGGAGAGACTTACATAGCTTAGTGTGGATGCCTGACTAAAAAAAATAAACTACCTCAAAAATAGTTTGGAAAATAACATCCGTGCTATACTGGAAGCTGCAGAACTAGAAAGAGTTGAAGAAAGAGGTCCAGAAAACAGAAACATAACAGGATAAACAAACGTTCAAAAGGATCAGAAAAAACAAACATATGTACACAAGGGAGACATTAAAGGCATTATTCCTTTTGGATGCAACACATGGCGGTCACCCAACTCCCCTTGAAATTGGTTTCAAATCCAAATTTTTATTCACTTCAGTGAAGATCATACCTGTGTTCAACACTACAAATATCTCCACATTTTTAGTCAAAACCCAGACATGCCTATCATTAATAGCTGGCAGCAGCAGGTAAAATGCAGCAGTGTTCGCACTCAATCCAGCTATTTTCAGCAGCACTGTCTTCTCCAGAGGGAACCAATTACCACAGGCGTGGCTTCCCTTGCAACCATCATCTTCACACCAGTCCTTGAGCCTGATTACACAGTGGCTCCTAATGGCCATCCTTTTCCAAATAGTTCTTTGTTATTCTGAGCTTACTAAATAGCTGCGTGTCAAGTACTCAGAGCCTAAATTAGCCACTGACTTTCTCATCTGTTAAGCTCTGGAATTTCAAGAGAGAGCTCTGATTATCTTGGAGTACCTCACTTCTCACGCTGTCTTCAGGACTTTACTTTCTACCTACGATTACATTTATAGCAAAAAAAAAAAAAAAGTAGGCAAAGTAGGCATATGGAAAACATACTCAATGCCCATACCATCTGACAAGTCCTTCAGGGGAAGGAAGCAACAACGGCCACAGGTTACAGATTAGAAGGTTCAGACTGGACATTAGGAAAAATTTCTCTACTAGAGCACCATGAAACACGTTGCCTAGAGAGGGTGTCTGTTGCCTGAAGTTTGTCTTTCTACTCATCCCTCTGTTCCCTACTCGCTTAACAGTGACTGCTTTTGGACTGAGCCTCTTGAGAAGCAAAAGGCCTTTGTGGCAGCAAGAGCATTACCGATATTGTTATTGTATATTTGATACATTCAGTACCATATATTCAATGTTAAGTGCCGCTTCACTGATCTGGCATTTCTTCAGCAAGCTGCAATACAAGTACCACACACCTCCAGAGCAACAAATGCACAATAAAGAGGTGTTTGAAACAGCAGGTGAAATCCAGAAAGTATATGGAACAATTCAACTGACATGAAGCAGTAAAAAAGTTTAGGGGAGGGGAAAAAAAAAAAAAAAAAACAACAACAAAAAGAACACCCACAACGACTAAAAAAAAACCCCACAAAACCACAAACCCCTCCAAACGACAATGAGCCCTCTGTCTTAATGCATCATGCCTGGTCTCCAGAGAGGGCCACAGACAAATGAGGGATTGTGCAGATGATCAAACACCAGGGCGCTAACACAAGACCTATGAGGAGAGACTGAGGGAACAAGTCTTGTTCTGCCTGCAGAAGACAAAGCATTGGGAGACAAATGGGCAGCCCTCCCGCACCTGCAGGAAGATTACCAAGAAAACAGAGCCTGGACCCTGAAGTGTCACATGGAGGGACAATGAGAGGCAGTAGGCATAAGTTGAAACAACAGAGGTTTGGACTGGATGTAAAGAAAAGCCTGTTCACCATGAAGACAGTGAAACATTGGAAAAGGTTGTACAGAGAAGTTGTGTACTCTCCATTCTTGGAGGTTTTGAAAACCTGAATGGATAAAGACCTGGTCTCACTTAGCAACTGAGAGTGCTTTGACCAGGAGGTTGGAATAGAGACCTCCTTATGCTCCTTCCAACTGGAGTTATCCTATAATTTTGCAAAGTCTTGCTCTGTTCTTAGAAACGCTGAAAATTCTTGAAAGATATTTTAAACCAGAAAGAATTGGACAGTAAGGGGCACATTAGGACTAATAAATATAGGTGTATTTTACTCTAGATTTCTATATTTGGATACATAATACAAGATGAAAATTGTTGTTCCCCACTTTTTACAGTACGTGTGCACACAGATGCGAAAGTATACTGCAGTTACATTTAGTAAAAGACATCTCTTTACTACTAAGCCTGCAATGATTAATGGCTAAATGAAACCAGAAAAAAAAAATATGAATATAAACTCAGGTGAGAGAGAAGCAAAAAGGATTCTGTTTTAAACAATGGAATAAAGATAAAGATCCTGCCCCAGAAAAACACTGCCTTCTTAATTTGCTACACAAGCAATTCAGGAAGGGATTGATCGATTGGTCACTCCAAATTAGCCTTAATTTACTTCTCAGAATCACCCTGAGCCAGAGGACAGAATATTATTAAGCTTTTCTGAGTTTGAAAACAACGATGTAAGAAAGTAACAGGGAAGACACCAGCATCAACCACAGACTAATTCTGAATATTTCCCAAGCTTAATTCCAAATCTAACCCTATTTTGTTAGAATAAACCTTCTTTCATCTTCAATCTGATCTCGTATCAATAGTTACCACGTGAACCTAACAAGTACAAAGATTAGTCACTTTCAAAGAGATAATGCAATATGTGCACTTAATCTTTTAGGTGCTTACAACATAGGAAGCATTTGGAAAAGCACAGTAATTTGGAATAGGTTTCCTAAAAGGGCAGATTTGGAATCGAAAATCATCAGATGTCAATACATAGGAATTCTGCTGTTGAAAGCATCCAGTACAAGATTAGGGCAAAAATTCACAGGAAGGGAATATGCCTCTATTCAGTCACATCTGAAGCATCCTTAAAAGAAACTCGTCAATCAGAATATATTTTTTTTCCTAGTTTAATACCTTGAAGTAAGGTTCATTCTCCTTCCAAATCCAGTTTTCTAAAATCTTGGTTAGTCAGACATTCTTAGTTTTTCCAACCTCTATATAGATATTAAATTCTTTTCTGTACCCAGATAAATTCTTAGACTCTCATCATAATTTCTACAAAGAGTTAAACATTCACTACACTATCATCTTAATCACTTTAAAAAAAACCAACCAAACAAAAAACCCCCACTTTGCTATTCATTTAGGGCAATTTTATCATATGTTTCTAGAAAACCTAAATTATTTCCCCATCTTCTTAACTCATTTAAGTTTTAAATGGGGTTTAGGAGTGCATTTTACACACCACCATCAGTTTGGGAAGCTCAATCCTATGGGAAGATGGTACCAGAAGCTAACACATAGGTTTGAAAAGTGGTCAGACAAGTTTATGTCAGAAAATCTTAGCAGGCACTGTTACATGAAAAGATAACACATCTATCTCAGGAAATCAAAGGTCACACATTGCAGGAAGGAGGAAAGTGGGATGGGAGAAACAACAGTAAATGCTAACCTCACTGACAGTCTTCTAAGACACCATGCTACTTGGACCTCTGGTCTGACCACACACAGCTGTTCCTACATGAGACTGTTAGCAGTGACGGAGGGGCAGAACTTACCCATACAGATTTTGCCATCAAAAATGAAAGAGATAGACAATAGATGTGCTTCTTAACACAAACTTGTCTCCTCAAAATTTTATTTTGCTTCTCTCTTTATGTGAAATTAACAGCAGTAGTTGTTTTAAAAGTTATAAACATGTCATCGTCACTTGGCAGAGGACTTCAGCATTTTTTGATCTTCAGTTCCCATACAAATTCTACCTGGTGATAAGCAATTCAAATTATCAAACATGTCTTTTCATTCTTTATTCTCCTTCTCTGCTTCAACTTTCACAAGAAGGACCTCAGGATTAGAAGCGTCCAGATTTTCACCACAGCATCAATCCCTGGGATAAGATTACACAGTTAGAACTTTTCTTCTTTCTCCTCAACTAGAACCAGTCTTTTAAATAAAATGAGCTCTTTTGTAAATAATTATAGTAAGAAAGTCTGGTTTCCTAAGAATTTTAGATTTGTCTCGATTTCTTTCCCTCTGCAATAACATAAGGATGGTACATAAAACTTTACATCCCTGTGTAACGTCTCCCACTGTCCCCAGGTTCTTTGGGCATATGCATCGTAATCTCAATGGAATTTTTTTTTTTGTTAATTCCAACTATTAGGATAAGGCACTAAAAGACCTTCTGAGTAGGAGTGTCAGGAGGCAAAACCAGAAACTTGTCACAAGGTGGGACTAGATTAGATTATGAAAATAGCTACTGGCAACAGTAGTGGACTGGATATGAATAGCAAGGTTCCTCCAAAACCAAATGACTCGATAGAAGGTTTTTTTAACGTAGTGTTTACTAAAGTTCACCCAGAGAACAGCAGCTGCCGCTTTTTAACTGCAAAGGAAATCAGAATGCTGTGCTTTTTACTTTGTTTTGGGTTATTATTTGTGGGTTGTTTTTTTAAAAAAATAATATTTATTCAACTTGCCACAGGTTTTGACGTGGCAGGGGAGTGCTGGTGAGGGGTGAAGCAGAAGACATCTGCTGCCCTCACGCGGTGCCTGCAACAACCACACGCCTCAACAAGCCGCAGCCTTTCCAGCTCGACCCCTTCACCTGCCGGGCTGCCAGAAGATTTCAGCAAAAATACTGGTTTAAGCATGCCAGCCTGCCTGCTAGGGATCAAAAATAACATTTCCTAAAGAGCTGGAGGGGGAGGGAAGAGAAGGCCTCTGTATTTTCCCCACTATAGCAGCTTCCTGGTCTTGGTCTTCCAATTCACTATGTAAAGAAGTTTTTCAGCGTATCTGAATACAAGCCAGACGAGTAGAAACTTTTCCAGTACAGCAAGCCCAGAATTCATTTCACATTACCTACCCTATCATGATATTTAGTCATTACAAAGATTAAGGCATTTAGGAAAAAAAAAAAAAAAAAGATCAGAGAACCAAGGAAAAAAACCTTAATTTCTCAGAAAAAAAAATACATCACAGTATCCCATGCAACTTTCATTTCTTTAAGGATGAGACAGAATTTGCACTTAAAAAACAACTTTTTTTATGGAAACAGATGAGCATAAAACAAGAAAAAAAAAAACTGCCCTCGCAGAAAGAGGTAACAGGGATACTGCAGCAGACAGTTCCACGTACACGATCTAGAGCTCTCAGGGACAGAGATTTAACAGTAAGTATCACAA